ACCTTCACTGCGGCGAGCTCCCGTTTTGCTTCCGATCTAACAGGAAGGGAAGAGGTCGGAGGAGCAAAGTCGTTCAGCCACGGGTGAGCCAAAGAAGAAGCGAAAGGAAGAAAGTTAATTTCACAGCCGACGAGCGCCTGTTCTTGCTTCCGATCAAAATGTTGGGACTTCCGGTCCGGCCAGAAGGGGACGGCGTCGGACGAGCGAGTGAAGTCGAACAGCTACGAAGGAGGCGGGGAAGCACCTGACAGCCGGCGAGCCCCTGTCTTGCTTCCGATCAAGCTGTCGTAACTTCCGATCCGACTGAAAGGGTAAGTCGACGTCGGAACGAAGTCGTCCAGCCACGAAGGTGTCGGAGAAGTCGCACGCAAGGGAGAAAGTTATTTTCACAGTGAGCGAGCGCCTGTTGTTGCTCCGATCAAATTGCCGTAACTTCCAATTCGACTCGAAGGAAACGTCGCCAATGGAGCGGGGTCGAACAGCCAGAAGGAGCCGGAGGAGTGTTCGACGGGGAGAGAATTACCTTCACAGGCGAGCTCCCAATCTTGCTCCCGATCCGATAGAAGGAAAAGTCGTCGAAGGTGCAGGAGATCGAGAGAGAGCGAGAGTCAGTTGTCAAGAGAGGCCAAAGGCCTCTTCTCTTCAGCCCTTTAATGATGCCAAAGTGAGATCGTGCGTGAAATGGTGGATGCGACATCGATCGTGCGCGACGTGCGGAGTTCGGCGCCGAACAGGTACGTAAACTCTCTTTTTTTTTCTTTTTGTATACAGTTATGGGTCAACAGTTTTCAATGAAGGAATATTGGTTGTGAAATGAAAGATATCTAATTCTTTCACTTTAAATCTTGAGGCGTGACGGCTCTCTTTGTTATTGGAAAAGATTTGTATGATTTTAATTTGTTGGTTCACTATGTATCATTCAGTAAATGTCTTTGGTGTAATATAATTTTTGGTAATGATCACATTAATATCCCCCTTACATAGTTTGTTGTCCAAGTTTAGAAGTTGTTGCAGACTGCAGACAATTAGGAAGGACCCTTTTGCAGCAGACGAGGAAATTGGTAATGCCACATCCATTTTTGATGACTTTCTTCCGAAAGCTTCTCGAGTTTTGGGCGATGGCTTTGTTTCTAACACTTTCCCTCATGCTTCAAGCTTATTGTTCTATTCCATTAGAAATTTAAGCATGATTTTATTCTTAATGATTTGACCACACAGCGCTACATCGCTGAGACAATTTCACTTGTGCGCTTCAAATAGATCTAGTTGTTACCAATAGTGCTGGATGGAATTATAGTATTGAGTAACATAGGATTTTACTTTCCAAAGTAAATGAATAGTACTTCCAATAAAATATAGATCTGATGTATTTTCAGAGTTGGAATAGTTTTCTTTGGTTACATCCTAAATCTCTTTTGTCGTGTCAGAGTAGATAATTTGTCATTTTAGCCGAGTAAAGCTCGAGTATTCAATGCGAGAATAATACAAATATGTGTAAATTACATTCAATTGACGCCCATCACTTCTACACTTTTTATCCAATTCTTGCTGTTTGTCCAACTATCTAAATAAGACGTATATTTGCATTCGCGTTGCTACTCCTTTTAAACCATCACCAGTTGCCTGTATGTTCTGCCAGTCACCAACCCACTAGAAGGAGAAAAAGTGCAAGGCCCTACATCTACGTCTGTGCTCTATGATTATTTTCTTTCAAGTGAATTAGTGCTCATGGTTATCCAGCGGAATGATCCCTAACCATGATAAGGATATTGAAGGAGCTTTGTTTGCTTAGAAATAGCCTGAAATAACTATTTTATAGAAGTTTTGTTGTCAAAACTTCTTTTGAAAGTTAGAATTTACCTTTTAAAAAAATTGAAATGTTATTCTAAATCCAATTATTTGAAGTACAGAAACCCGGATTAGTTTTTTAGAAAAAAGGTGAATAAGCGCAGTGGTTTTCTTTGTCGCAGGTGATAAAGAATGGGGAGATGCTTGGAGTTTCACATCTCAGGAACAGAAGAGTTCTATCTAATGGGTTTGCTTTACTAGGAAAGGAGGATTTACAGGTATTGACTAATTATTCTTTGATTTTGCAGTTCTATCAAGGATCTAACTTGTATTCCTCTATTACAGTTGATGTATAGTGATGGTGACAAAGCATTTGGAACATCCGCAGAACTTTGCATTGATGAGAGGTTAAGAATTGCCTTTGACGGAATAATAATTGTCTGGTATTGTTCTAATTTATGCATAAACTTTTTCTTAAAGGACAGTCAAGTGCTTCTAATTTCGTTGGAAAGTTTTTGGATGGAAACTTGTATTTCTTTTGAAACTAGGGTGGGAAGCTTACACACAGAGTCGCCCTTTTTTATGGGGTTTGGAATTTTTTGTTTTGATTTTCTTGTCTTGTTTTTTGTGTCGCTTTCTGGATTTTAAAGAAAACAAAATTATGTTTGGTCATTTTGTGAAAATTGGTGTACAAACACTTGTTTTAAAGGGCTATTAATCAAAAAAGAACGTTTGTATTATTAACACTTTAGCAATTAACAAAATTATTTTAGTTAATTTAATTAGATTTAAATATCTTTAATTTATTAATATTACAAAGTAAAAAAAATATTTAAATAAAGTATCAAAATAATGATAGTTTTGTGTCTATGATGCACAGACACGGACACGGCGATAAGGACACTATATGACACGAGACAAGTTAATTATTGAAAATATAGGACAGACACTGGTTGGGTACGGTATTATAATTTTTATATTTTAAAAATATTATATAAAAATTGAATATGCAAAATATTAAGAATAATTGTGAAATAATAATTTAATTATGATTTATGCTTAAAATGATTAATATTAAAATATCGAGAGTTAAACATTGATGTCGTGTTTGGCATTGAGAGGAGATGATAATGCTTTCGACAGTCAAGCATCGTTATTGTGTAATGAGCATCATGCATTAATGTCAAGATAGCGTCAATCATCAATCTCGAGATGGAATTGGTCATCGATGTTAAGACAATATTAGACAAATATGAGATGTCAAGATGGCATTGGGGCATGATTTTGGGTGTCTAAATAGCTGGCGTCAAGCATAAATGTTAACACAGAGTTAAGACTTTGATGCTGAGATAGTTTTGAAATATTGATGTTGTGACGGCATTAGATGTCAATATTGAGATGACATCGAGTATTGTTGTGAAACCATAAAAACAACCTTCCAGAGAGAAATGAAAAAGAGGATATTCAAGGATGAGGTGTAGAGTCCAGGTGATTGATTTGGGCTTTGGATAGAAAATAAAAAATTTATTTATTTTTACTAAATAAAAATTTGAGATATAATAAATTTTATTAAAAAAAATCATGCTGGATAGATGTGTCCAATTTTTTTTTTTTTTTTAAATACATCTTCAGGGTGTCCGACGCGTGTCGGATGTGTGTCGTGTCCAGTACGTGTCAACCTCTTTGAGGAGAAGTATCATTGCATTATAGTTTTGTGTCCCTTTAGCTTAAAATTGCCTGTACAAAATTTTAAATTGTTATTTTATTATTAAATATTGGAATAATCTTGATTTTAGTTTGATCATGCAATTAATAAGAATACTTGAGTAATTTATAAGACTTATGAAATTTCTATAGCCTTCTGAAGAAAATTAACCATCTATTCTTATAAAGGGCTTGGGTCAATTAAAGGAATCTAATTTGCCTCTTTTAACAACCAATCTTGTACAAGAAAGTGGAGATAGCCTATGTAAAAGTAAAGCTTTATGTAAAAAATGAAATAACTATTGAGTTTGTTTGGCAAGGGCATGTTAAGAGGGTGGATTGTTCTGGGTGTCAATGGAGCACTTTGGACTTCTTTTGAAAATTTCTAAAATCCGCCAATTCGCAACTCCCACAATCTAAGTACTAACGAAAGTTACGGGAAATATAATAATTAAATCACAAATATACAACAAATTGTATGTATAGAGATATGATATACACTATGTATGTAAATTAATACAAAGAGTGCAATTATTTGCAATTTATATGTGAATAGTAAAGTATTGTACCTATATTAACCAAAGTAGGTGTGATTTACTAGTCCGTTAAAGTGGTTCGCATTTATTAATAGTAATGTTTTCAATGGTAGCATGGAAATTTTACGCCCGCAAAGCATAAATGGGTCCTCACAAGCATGCCTGAAAGGAAAAATACGAATTAGCACTCGATGTTTGTGGCTGGATAAAGGGAAGTTGTTGGATGCACTATACAAAGCTGCGCATGCTGCATTATCAAGTTGTCCCGTAAATTGTCCATTGTTTCACATGGAAAGGATTGTAGCTGAAGTATTGAGGAAGGTGGTCAGAAAATACTGTAGCAGAAGGCCCGAAGTCATTGCAATTGCTGTTGAGAACACTGTTGGTGTTCTCTCTGAAGAACTTAGGGAACGAATAGCAGGAAAGACTTATGACAACTTTGACCTGTCTGCAATCAATCAACTCTCAGATATGCATATGAGGAAGGTTTCAGGCAGCCGGTTTGATGAAGATGCACCGGACATAATGAGAAAACTTCTTGAAGCAGGGGCAGAAGGTAATACTGGTAACGTTTCTTTTTCCATTTTGGTTTTCAGGTGTAACTTTTGGCAATTTTTTATTCCAAGGGTGAGTTTTCTTTGAACGAGTGGTCTTCTAATATGGGTACAAAGTGGGGATGGGGTGAAAGGAGCATTATATTTTGAACCAATATAATAAATAATATGAAACCTTCTAAGCCTTCGTAAAATATTCTTTCAGATGATGATTTTGATGTTGAGAAATCGGATGCAGAAGTTTCTTTGTCAGAATCAGAAGATTTGGAAGTTGAAAACATATCTTCAGTAGAACATTTAGCATCCAGTAAAGCAAGTGGAAGGGAATTAATGAAGGTATCAGAGGCAAAGACTGGAAGTCTTAAATCTGGAAAAAGAAACAAATGGAAGCCTGAAGAGATTAAGTGGTTGATTAAAGAACGTGGTGATTTAAATGATAGATTCCAGACTGTCAGAGGGAGAATGGCTCTATGGGAAGAAGTATCTTCTAGCATGTCAAGCCATGGGATAATCCGCACTCCGGCACAGTGCAAGTCTCTGTGGGCATCACTTGTTCAGAAATACGAGGTCTTTACTTTGATCTGTAATGCTTATTTTCTTCTGTCTCAGTTTCAAGAAAATTTTATCTATATAACCGTGTAGATTTCAGCAATCTGAATAACAGTTATTTCAAGCTTGTATTCTAATTTCTAACAACCCTATAGCGTTACAAGCTATTTTCCAATGCAAGTTAAAAGGTGCATTTACATCTGAGGGGTGCCTTTTCATGTTGGCGTTTGTAAAGATATTTTTATCATTTCATTTGTGCGTTGAAATATGAGATTCTTGTCAGAGAGCTCTTCCTAAACCATCTGGCCAGGTTAAAATTGTAATTCTAGCATGGTTGGGAATCGAAGTAGGCTTTTAGCTGTACATTTGGAGCAGGAATGCATATCAATGTAGTTTTTTTATTTTTGGGGAAAGCTAAATTGTAGTTTTCTGTAACACATATCTTTGTGATTTGCATTTAACTTCGAAATTGCTGCAGCTTGGTTCACCTTGGTTTAGTCAGCAGTACATGTTTACTTTATTACGTACTCCTTTTCTCCTTTTCTTTAAGGATGATGCGCCAACAAAGGTGACTTCTGTTCATCTGGTTGCATGTCTCCTAAATTTTCCTTCAGAGATATCACTACTGGTTAATATATCTTGGGAAATTTCATCCCTTTTTGTTTGTTTTTCTTATATATTTCATTACACTGTCGCTTGCAGCTTATGAGGGAACTACTATATAAGCCTGGATCTTCTATTTAAAATATATGTATTAACAAAAGTGATTGGACATTTGTATGTTAGGATACTGAAACTTGGTTCAACTGACATCACTTCGTTTCCTCCTTTACAGGAAAGTAGAAAAGATGAGAAATTTAGAAAGAGCTGGCCATACTTTAGTGCAGTTGATAAGATCTTGTCAGCGCCTCAAGCGGCAGCAAAATAAGCAAAAGCCATTTGAGGATTACTAGGTGCAGATAAGCTGACCATATAGATTCTTTAATCCATTTGAGTAAAAGAAAAGCTGCCATGTCTTTCATGCTCAGTTACACGCCATGTAAGTGCAGCGGACCATTAATAAAACATGTTTTCCTTAGCAGTTCATTGTTTGGCAGTTGTTTGTTCCTCATGTTTTTAACCATAGACTCAGAAGAGTTTGTGAGAAGTCGTTTTTCAATTAAAGCATTACTTGATCTGGGGAACTAAACAAGAGTAGAATAGGATTGCTATCTGCAAAGGAGCTTTGTATTATTAGCAATGCGAAAATTATTTGTTTAGATTAGGTTCAGATACAATTGCAGTATTAGACGCTTCAGGAGAGCAATAAAATTTGTTTTTCATCAATTTTGAACGGAAATATGTTTACCTTTTTTCTTGAACCTGTACTGTTCTACGCTTAAACTTCTGCAATCAAAGAAGCACTGCTCTAGCTATGACCATCACAGACGGTTTTTGTATAACATCCTAAAGAAGCTTTTTAATATAAAAATTTTAATTTTTGCACTACTATTTTAAGAAGCGGTAAGAAAATCATCCCAAATGAAACTGTTCGCCTAACAGTTGCTTTGTAAGAATAATAACTGTATCAATTATTTTTTATTAATCCTTCATTGTCATTTTGGGATGTTGACTATTATGTAAACCCTGTTGAACTTAGTGTGTTTGGGATTGCTTTTCACAGCTGCTTTATTTTACAAACTGTCGCCACTTTTTATTTGGTTATAATTTTTTTCTATTTCCATGTTAAGCAGTGTTGTTAGAAAATATCTAGTTTTATATATATATATATATAATCAAAAGAATTTTTAATTTTTCTAATAGCCAGCAATTTCACTGCTAATGGTGAAATAGTTGTAGCCTGCCTAAATGGGCCTTTAAGATTTTAAGATTTTATTTAGGGCAATTCTTTTACTGTTTTTAAAAATAATTTTTCAGTATAATTTTTTTTAAAGGAAAAAAAGTGATAAAAAATTGTCCTAAATGAAGCCCAAGTCATTTAAAACTTAAGGGATTTAGTCATGGCAATTTATTGTTATTCTCATTTTGATCTGATGTGTGTATGACTGAGTTGATTAATGTAATTTTATTCTACTCTCAGTTGGAATTATATTCATGAAGAATATCTTCTAACAAGAGTATTGTCACTTTCGTGTTTCGAATGAATTATAAAACGATTGTGTAGAGGCAACCATCTTTATTTATGAACTTGGTCGGAGGTAAACATGTAGAGGCTATTAAGGTTTCATTTAAGCCTACGCTTCTCATTAATTTTCAAGAGAAAGTTCCTAGCTTAGAGCAATCAAATGAGCCGTAAGCTATTCAGAAATCAAATGACAGCCGAGCAGTTCACCGTAAGCTACAGATGCATGTCATATATTCATAGATTTAAACCTCTTTTTTTTATTTTTTTTTATTTGAAGGCCACCATTGTTCATTTGTTCAGCAAACAAATTAGGAAAATCAAATTCGAAAAGAAAAAATTTAAACTGATACGCTCACATAGCAGCTAAAGAAGCAGTTGAAGAAAAAACCCTTCCATAAAGATCCTGCAACATCAAACCTCCAACTGATATTGACAGTTTTGGAGAGAAGATTAGCTCATTATCTAACTTCCATCTCAAAAATAGCTAAATAAATGTGATCTTATATGACAATTGAGGCCCACAAGCTTTCCTCCGTTAGATCTTTAGGGGCAAAAAATCTAGCATAACTTTTTTTTTTTTTTCTATTTTTAAAACAATTTCAAAAAATGTGTAAAAAAAAAACGGTCTAATATTTTCATCCAAACAGTTCAATAAAATGAATACCAATGCAATGCAATGCAATGTAAGAACTGCCACTAACTGAAACATTTTACAAAACTCCCGCATAAGGGCTTCCCATTTTCTCTCCTGCTATAAGTACTAAAAGTTTCTGATACAATATTTCAAGCCTCAATGACAGTTACTACTTCCTCGTCAGTTGTATCTGATGCATCGCACGCAACAATTTCTTCCCGTCGTTCATCTTCACTTACTGTATCATCCCTTTTTGTCCCCACATCAGTTTGAGTAAAAGCCTCTCTCAGCTTCATCATTAGGTCCTTCCGTGCTTCTTCATTTCCTGATAAATAGAGTTTCATCGCATCTTTGCCATGGAAACTCCGACCATTCAACCTGTAGAAAGCACCGCCTGACTTCGTCACGAATTTATGCTTCAGTCCCAATTCTATTAGCTCTGAAGCAACACAGATGCCCTTACCAAACTCCAACTCAAACTGAGCCGTTCTAAATGGTGGGGCATGCTTGTTTTTCACAATCTTCACCACAATTTGACTTCCTACAGTCTTCAGAAAGGAAATTCCAATTTAATTATTGCTATTTAAAATGGCTAGGATAAACAGAAATCTGTAACATGAAATTAAACAGGAAACTGGGAACCATCGGGATGCTCATGTTCAAAATACTTTAGTTCATGAAATGAATAATTAAAAACTTTGTTGGGATTTTAATGACAGTGAAACTTATGGAAGAATATTTACCTCTTCACCCTTCTTAACATAACCGATTCGTTTGATATTCAAGCGAACAGATGCATAAAACTTCAAGGCGTAGCCCCCAGATGTAACTTCAGTGGGCCCACCAAACCCTCCAAATGTGCTAAGCTTACATCTCACCTGAAATTTCAAACTAGTTTTAACCGATAAACACTCCAAGGAGGTGAGTGGTGCCCATCAAATAAAAGTAAGAAATAGCATAGCTTAAACAACAAAGTAAATTGGTGGATAAAGGCAATTAAGAATAGAATCAAGACAAGTTCAGTTATTTTTATTGTTTCTAGAAACTATCAATGGAAAACTGAACTTTAACTCACCTGATTAATAAATATCAATACTGTCTGAGAAAGAGAGAGAGAATGGCTCAACTTGCGAAGAGCCTGGCTCATCAGCCTTGCTTGAAGGGCCATATGTGCATCTCCCATCTCACCATCAAGTTCACTTTTAGGAACCAAGGCAGCAACCTGATTTTCAAAAAAAAAAAAACTAAGGGCAGGAGCTGACCAATATCTCCAAAAACCTACATAGGTATGCAGGCAGAAAATGTTTTTCGAATAATGAATGTATGCGTGCTTGATTTATGTTGGACATAAAGACAGAAGCTGCAACAATGGGTAGGAGAGTAACATGACTTACACTGTCCACAACAACTACATCAATCGAACCACTGCGAATGAGGGTATCGACAAGGCTTAGAGCCTGCTCGCCACAATCTGGTTGAGAAAGAAGCAAGTTATCAGTCTTTACACCAATAACCTTAGCTAGAGCTGGATCCAGGGCATGCTCAGCATCCACAAAAGCACAATAACCTGTAAAAGGAACATCACAGTGAATTTGACTAAAATGACCCCGTAACTGAAAAGGTCAAAGAATCTTAGAAATAATGTAATATTTGCATAAAGCATACAAACATGTTTTGCAAAATAGATTTTCACTCATCATACAGCATGCAGTACAAATGAATAGAGAATGGGAATCCATAAAGCCAGTTGGGATAAGAGGAAGATGATGATTGAACATACAAGTATTTTCTAACAAAGAGAGCACAATATGGTTTGTGAAACAGTCATAACTCTTATCACAATAAGTAGTCCATCAGTTACTGCACAACCAATTAAATTTAGGAAGAAGCCAATTGGATTGTCATTATGAGCTTATGACAAGCAAGGATTGACTGTATAATAAGAAAAATGAACACATCATCATTAATTTTTCAAGGCAATGTGTAAGTACTTCCCTTCTAGATATCTCATTATGCTTACTCATTATAAAGCTAGCAATCCTTATTTGGTTCGCTTTAGAAATTATTTTTCTCATTAAACACAGAACTATTGTCAGATGGACCTGAACTAAATAAGAAAATAAGCTACCTCCAGTTTTTTGGGCTTCAGCAATTACGTGAAGAGCAAGAGTTGTTTTCCCTGAAGCCTCTTGACCATAGATTTCCACAACACGACCCTGCCAAAAGCCACGGTTGAGGAGAAAAAAAAGTTGGTAAATATTAAAAGAATAATGAAATGGTGCAGGATAAGATGAACAGCATTGAAAAAGAAGCAAAAGAATCACAAAAAGCATCTGTTTCACCTTTGTAGTCCATATACACCAAACAATCAAAAAAGTAACTTGATACGGTAGATAAAAAGGACAAAACTGTGAATCATCATTATTAGGATACATGTAATACTCCAAACTGGTGACACTTGGTTTCATTGCTTGGAGTCGAGGAAGACAAAGGAGACGCTAAGAGTTCCATCTCCTGGAGTCGCGAGAAAGGGCAAAGGGTCCACAAGTGAGGGAGACAAAGGGCTTTGTCACCTTTAAAAATTGAGAGAGGAGAGAAAGCGGAGGGAAGGAGAGTTGATAAGGCTGATAAGCATGAGCATCTTGCAATTTTATTGGCGACGAGAGGGAAAGAGACGAGTAAGAGCGGGCGAGCAAGCGAAAGCTTAGGATCAACCGACAATTGAAAAGATCAAAGAAAGGTTTGTTAAAACAAATTTTAAGTTTAATTGATATTAGGATTATTTATGATCTATTTTAGAAAATTTCAAGTTTAACTTTTAGAAAACTATATTAGAGTTTATTCTTTAGATTATGAGAGTTTATAATTTCAAACTATTTTTTTAAGAATAATGTGTAAGGCAATATATTTAAAAGCAAAAACTAATTAATTATGATATACTTTTATTTAAATGAGAGAAAATGTATATATATTTTTAAAGGAAGAAAATTTAGTTTGCAAAAGTAATTTTAAAATATCATAATAACAAATTTTAGATTATGATCCTTTTTTTTATTTAAAATGATGAGAGGTATATATATATATATATATATATAAAAGTAATGAATTAAAATAAAAAATGAGAGTTAATTATAAAAAGAGATATTATTAGACATATAACTTAGAATAACCTTACGAAATTATACATGATTATAGATATCTAACTATCGAAGTCAGAGTAAGAATTAAAAAGGGACAAAAGCTAGTTATTTAAATTCAAGGTGAGTAACTATGTTCTAAATTTACAGTAATGACATATGTTTCTTCTAAATTTAATGCAACGAGTATTATTATTATTTAATCACTTGTTGTTAATGCTTTACAAATTATCTGTGTTAAAGAAAATTGGTCATGTTGTATCGAATGAGATAAATTTAATATCATAATTAGGTCACTTATCATGTATCGTATAATGCTTAGTTGCTTACTATACATTAGCATGAAATGATATGAAGACTGTAAATAAAATGATCTATATGTTTGCATGTGCATGATTGAGTGATGGAGTGCACCTCTTTATGGTACTGGATGGGATCATAATATACCCAGTAGCGTAAAATGAAAAACTTTTGAAAAAGAATTTTAAATTGGAAAGGAAAGTACCTTAATTGATACTATTTAGACAATGCCTCTTGTAACAGTTGTATTAAGTATAGAAAAAGATAATACATGATATGTATGTCATATATGGGTATGCATAACATTTATGGTCATTCTCAAAATAAAATTTAAAAAGAATACTTTATTTTATGTTTTGTAGCAAGCAAGCATATTGCTCAAAAAATCATGAGGATATTGTAATTTAGAAATATAGTGTGCTCACTAAGTTATGTTATAACTCACCTCTACAATTTGAAAACGTACGCATGTATTATTCTAAGATTTTATAAAAGTTGAAGAGGAAAAAAAAGTCTATCGGAGGCGTGATGCTTCAAGAGAAAGATATATATTTGAAACAATAATAATATTTTACATTAACATACATTTAGCGTTTTAGTGACTCTTTCAGTGCACTAAAAATAATTAATGGTAATAACATTAGAGGTATTTTTTTTTTTTTTAATAACCATCCTACCGTTTGTTCTTACCTTGTTAATTCGAATCTCTAGGCCTATCCATAAAAATACAGCTATATTTTTTTAGATTAAAATAGTGCTAAATTTTTAATTTTTCTTTTTCATTTTTTTAACAAAGCCTTGAAAAACTTTGTAAGTGAGTTTTAATCTTATAATTTAGTATTGGGTGGCTCTTACTCGTTTAGAAAGAGCATAGGGTGTAAGACTTTCTTTGTGACGTGGAGATGAACTTATGGTTGGGACTAAGGTTTTATAATAAAAATTTAATCATGTTTTGGCTTATATCGAACTCAAATCAAGCCAAACTCAGAGCTAAGAGTCAATTTTTTGGCTTAATCTAACCTTAGAGTATACTTTGAGTTGGTTTTTGGATCATATCAACTCAGCTCAAGGTTGGCTAAAAGTATATATAGTTTGTATATTTTTAAAATTTTGTGTGTGTGTGTGTGTGTGTGTATATATATATATATAATCACATAGATGCATATTATAAATGTTTAATTAAAATAGAAAACAATTTATTTCAAGAAGGTTGGATTCAAATTCAAGCTAGCTCAAAATTAAGCTAATTCATGTCAGTGGAAATCAGGCTTATTCAAGCCAACCCAATTTGAAATTGAATCAATTCAACCCAAGAGTAGATTTCAAGCCGGCACTAACTGACTTGAATCAAATCATTCTCATCCCTACTTACAATAGCATGTTTGACATTGTAGCAACCCAATATCGTGAGAATCCTATATGGGTTGAGGTCTAGGCTTGTATGTGGATCAAGTGGGAACCAAAACACAAAAAATAATAATAATAATAAATTTGATGTCCTGAATTCTCTATAATTAGATTTTAATTCTTGCATTTAACTATTTTATTTACTTATAAATTGCTTGGACTTTAAATTATTATAGCAATTTAAATTAAATAATTTTGTTTTGATTTAATATTTCTTATTGTGGCTAAACTACAAATACTTACATTTAAGCACTAACTCATTTCTAGCCATATATTTTTGTGTTAACAATGGTTAGCAACATTAGACCTTAGCGAATTTAGTAGCATAACTTGCATGATAGAACAATTCATAGGTAATTGCACTTATAAGTTTTATACTCAGATTAGCCTTTATCATAAACTCATACACCATAGTTCACCTAGGTTTTATTTGTAACAACTTTTCGACTGCTTTTGCAGTAGAAAAAGCTATCAATAACAGTTGATGAGCATTTTGTTTATATATTTATCATTTCTCCTTTAAAAATATTTTTGTAAAAGCATGTGGCTTTGGTTGAGAAATAAGTTTTTAATGGCAAAAATAGATAAGAATAAACTGTTTCAAATGAAGCCCTAGAGATGATTAGATTTGAAATACTTCTTTCATTAATCATCTCAAAAAAGTTTAATCATAACATCTATTTAGTTTTTTTGTTATTAGTATTAATTGTGATATTGAATTTGTAGAATTTCATAAAAACATTCTAAGTTTGAAAATTTAGAAGTGATTCCCCTGCCCCCACCCCTAGTTGAATATTATGAGAAGGGAAAAATAAATAAATAAATGTTGACTATTAAGAGAAGGGAAAAATAAAATTGCTACCCTTGCCTCAACATGAATAATGACAGGGATAAATAGTGGTTGCAAATAAATTAAAACATACTTAAAGGCAAGCAATGACAACATATAATAATGCTTTTTTTGAAAAAAAAAATAGAAAAAATTCTACGCATATATTCTCTCAAGACCATGAATCGCATGTTGAAGATGGACCTGGATAATAATGAACGTCCCTAACACAAAAAGATACAAACATTCTTCAGCATCAACATGACAATTTAGAATGAGTGAGCGTTGTTATGTGCCAGAGTGGGGATTCAATATCATCAAAATACCGAAAGGGCTTAATAAGCAATGCAAATGTTCAAGTTCAATTTACCTTAGGAAGTCCACCAATTCCCAATGCTAAATCCAATGAGAAAGAACCCGTAGATATAACAGGAACTTCTCTAGGAGAATCAGAACGACCAAGCCACATAATTGCACCTTTTCCAAATGAAGCTGTAATCTGATCCAAGGCTTGCTGTAATGCCAAGTCTTTTTTTGATAGATTCTCATCACCAGAATCACTTGTATTTGATTTAGACTTTTTTTTTCCTAAAATAAGAAGGGGAAATACTTAGGTTCACTTTGCAACAAATATGACGCTTGCTTCAGTATCATAAATTAAAAAGTCGCAATGAAGTTTACATAAATCTTTTCAACTGTGAGATTGTGACAGATTAGAAAACGCTTTGCATTTGAAGAAGGTGGCTATTTGGATAGCCAAATCATAACATATGAAACCACATAGTGGATCCTTGTCCTATAGTAGAACTAATGAGATGGTATTCAAGATTAACGTAAAAGAAATACTGGACTTTATGAATACAATTTACATTTCAAGAGTATAGGAATAAGAAATCATGTAAAATGTCAAACATAAAGAGTGTCCAAATAAGAGACAACTACAAAACTAATATGCTACATAGATGGTATTGTGAAGCTCTAACTGTTACATAAATGCAGAAATGCAACTAAAATTTTGAGTACTATTTAGATGATTTAACAATGCTATTGAAGTTTAAGTCTATTTTAAGGATATTAATGAATACAAACTTCATAAATTGTCGATGATTTACAGGCCTATTGAGGGAGAATAACATGTTAAAAGTATAAATGTATTTATCTTGTAGGAGCATGGTATGCACAAAATTTTCAAATTAGGCTAATTTGTGGTAGCATACCTTTTGTGGAGAAATAACAAATTTGAGAAGGCATCAAGGACCCTTGTCTATAAACCTGCCAAGCAACAAAGCATTCTTCAAAACCATTGTAAAGATAACAAAAGATCATTTAGGCCTAACAGGCAATCCTTGCACGAGAGAAGCACACCACCAAAGACATTATTCTGAACTTAAAGTGTTGTATGTCAAAAACATCATATATTATGACTAACAAAAGACAGCTTTAAGCTTTTCATGGAATTTAGAACAAGCAGATCCAATGCCTGAGGAAAACAGCAATGATGCCCTCTAAATTGCAATAAATAGCGTCACCTATAGTTTACATAATTGAGATCACTAAGGGCAATGGCTTGTTAATGGCAAGCAAAGCAAGCAACAGTATAAAGATAAAAGCAAGCATTCAGTTATTCCGGGGCTCCTCTTCTCCAAATAACCCCACAAAGTTAAAGCAAGCAACTCCCAATCAAGAAAATCAACCCCTAGAATCAATGATGGTTGCCCAAAACTTGGCCTTTATGACATTTCGGCAAATGGTAGCAGCTAAAGCCAAAGGAAGTGTAAAAAGCGAAACGGGATAAGAAAAGCCCATGGAGGAAGAGACGAGTGAGTTAGCGAAAGTACGAGGGTACATGGAAGAACCTGCGAAACGAATAGATCTCTCTTCAAGCAAAAGGTCCGAAGGAGCCTCGCCATAGTGATTTAAGTAAAAGAGGTCCCTGATCCTAGCCTCAAGTTAGCGACATCTTCTTGCAGGGATATGAGCATAGAAGGAAAGAAGTGGGAAGTAGACAGAATCCAAGAGACTGCACTTCAGCTCACATAATGATACAAAGAAAAGATGGCGCGGTAGAGGCGGGAACGCTTTTGTCGCAGTGTTCACCGTTTTAACGAAGAGCTAAACCCTAAATACAAAGAACTCAACAGTGGAGTTTCCAATCAAACTAACATATTTAAAAAAAAAAAATACATTTTTTTATGGTAAAGAGAAAGTGAGTATGCCCTTATTCAACTATTGATGAGATGCTTTTGGTGTAGTGGTAAATTTTCATTGGAAATTATATAGTTGAGTGTGCTTATGTAAGAGCTATCTTTTGAAAAGTTATATTAGGAGGGCAAAAACATGTGAATAATTAATCATTTAGAATTGAGGCTATAATAAATGGTAATTAGTCTAGATGTTGATGCACAATATTTAATTTTAATTAGAACGTTTTTTTGTGTGAAAATTTCGTGTCTAATAAATTTAAGATCAAGCATTATAGTATAGATAATTAGTGAATGAATTTTTTTTATTTTTTTTTAGATTTTTCATATGTCTTTTCAACGAATATAATTGTATGAATTGATGTTGTCATATGATTCAATATTGAACCATAAAATAATTGGTCAATTCTTTATTCACTATATTATCTTTAAATTAATCAATTAACCCCTTTATGTTAGTCTATTGTTGAAATCTTCTAGATTTGATGGACCATCCTCATTCTCATTGATTACTAGAGAAATCATGTGCATGAGGGACTTTCTAGTGTCGTTGCCATCATTGTTAGTTGGGAGGAGGCACTAGACTAGTCCTCTCATAACACTCGCTTCATCTGTCATTTTCCAGCGAAATTATTATGTGCGATGGCAGGATGTCGTCTAGAGGGCAATCAAGATGTGCTAAGCCATCAATATATTGTGTATTGTCACACGTGTATTGTTGTGTATTAGATGATGTGGCGCGTCCTAATTGACCTCCATACCATCTGGTAACCTCACGTGATAATTTCTCCATTTTTCAACATTATTCGATTGAGATGTGTATCATGAACAAGAAATAGCATAACACTAACCAAATTTCTCAAAAAGGTAGTAACTGTCTAAGATAGAATATTCTTGACATTTGATTTGGGATACACGTGACATTCACCCCCTCCTAATCAAGGAATAGTCATTTCCATGGGGATTCAATCTGATCTCTATCACATAGGTTAACATCATCAAGAAATGCTTTAACTAGTAATCTCGGATAGGTCAAATATCATAGGAGAATGTCAATCAAATCTTAAATTCTTGATTCAAAAATTGCACAATCTTAATTATGTCTCAATCACTATATGATTAATCTCAGGGGAATTTGATCTGACATCTTCCGCATAGTTAATATCATTTAGCAATGCTTTGACACACAACCTCGGATAGGTCATACATCCTTGGTGGATTCTCTCGACCTCTTCCATACATGTTAATATCATCGAGCAATGCTCTAACAAATAATCTCAAATAGGTCACATCATTTATGTATTCTTTTACCCTCTTCCACACTGGTTAATGTCATCAAGCAATACTATGATAAATAATCTCGGATATATTATAAATCCTTCGTGGATTTTCTTTGCCTCTTTTATATAGGTTAACGTCATTGAATAATGCTCTAATAAATAATCTCAGATAGATCAAACATCCATTGTGGATTTTCTCATCATTTTCAATATAAAGCAACGCTTTAACAAATAACTCCATGAAGGCTCACCTATAAGGCAGCCTCAAAGAAAAGTTATTAATATATAAGGTCCTCACTAAAAAGACTCCATAACAATTGGTTGATATGATCATCACTTATTCAAATACCATAGAAGGATAAAAAGCCTCAAAAGGCACAGATATACAAATACCATAACATGCTACAAAAGCCCAAAAGGCAAATGTATACAAAGATCTTAGCATGCTAAAAAGCCTCGAAAGACACAAGTATACAAAGACCTTAGCAGACTGAAAAACCTTAAAAGACATGGGTATATAAAGATATTAGCAGGCTAAGAAGCTTCAAAAGGCACTTGTATACAAAGACATTACAGGCTAAAAAGCCTCAAAGGCATAGGTACATCAAAATCTCAGATGGCTTAAAGTCTCAGAAGATTACACTTATTTGATCATTTAAAAATCTCATAAGAATAAAAGTTGCAAAAAGGATAATTTCCTCAAATCTAGCTGCTCTAATTGGGGGAAAAATATATTAAATCATATCTCAAAGATGTATAAACATTAGTTTCCTCTAGGGGACAAGTTCATTTCAAATAAAAAAAATAAGCATTGAACTCATATAAAATATTTCAAATTCATATACAATATCATTGGATTTACATAGTATAATTCTATATTAGGTTTGAGTATACATTCATTTTCACTAGAAGTTAACATTAAAATTACATCAACATCATCTTGTGCATTGTAATAAATCAAAATGATAAAAAAAAATCCTTGCAAACCACTGGCCTCCACTTAATCGACAACTTGAGTGTGCTGATAGATTATTGCGATCGACATAATGTTTGATCCCATCAATTTGCATATCCATCTTCTGCCTCAATCAGTATAATATCTCCAACAAAATAAAGCATCTCTTTCATCAAGGAAAGATTGGAGTCCTGACAAGCCTTCAACTATTTGGCACTTTTTATATGTTGTTAAACTGCTTCCATTGGCACACCACTTAACTACCTTCGTTAGGTAATTCATTATTTTCATCAAGTTATCATAATTATCTACTACACTCCTTGAATACAACTCAACCACCACCACCACCATTGGCCCTTCGCCTGATATCTGTTGTCAGTCCTTCACCTCTTATCAGCCATAATCAGCATCTCGCTCAGCTTCTATTAGCACCACACCATCCAATTGTCTCCTTCGACTCACCACCCCACCACCGACTTTCGTCGGAGTTCCACCTAATGGTCAATCACCGCCAAACTTCCACCTAGATGCTAATCAACACTTCACCCACATGACAACACAAGTCGCATCTAGTCTTGGGTGGCCCATCGGTCAATTCGGCCGCCTATGCACATTCGACCCTAATTTTCTGCCTTGATAGTCCAATTCGGGCTTTTTGGGAGTCCTTGAGATTGTTTTTCGATTATTCGGATACAATTTTGACTTTTTTAGAACTCAATTGAACTTTCACAATCAATTTCAAGTAATATCAATCATTTTTTAGCTCAATTTTTTATCTTAAAGAATAAGCCGATCTTAGAACAATCTAAAATTATATTTAAGGTATTTTACTTGGTTTACGTCCCCGAGCGGAGGTCCATGTTGATGTTCATGGAGCACTAGCGCCTCATAATTACCCACAAATTGTAATTTAGAATTGGAATGATTTGAAGAGCTCTGACATATACTTTCAAACTCTCCAAGCATCAACTTCTAAAAATAGGGGGTAACTGATCTATCACGAAAAAATTTTCTTGATCAAGCATGAATCTCGAGGCAATTTTGTATCACAAACTTTTAAAATTAAATTTGGGATCATCCAAACTTTAATTTCATTAAACTTATAGTTGAACTGAATGCCTCAGAGACAAACCTAATGACACCAAATTTGATCAAATATGAGTCCAAATGGGACCAAATCAAGGACCCGAAGCTTGGAAGATTCAAAACATAAACTGGACAGTCATATAAATTCCAAATATAATATATTTATAGTTGAATCGAGTAGTTCAATGAGACCAATCTAATGAGCCCAAGATCGTCAAATTCTGACATCACTAAAGCACTCAAATGGTCAATAAATGGTGTATGATCAAGAGAATCAATATCGGTCGCCCATTCGAACTACTCCCAACATGATTTGATCTTCTCCCTATTTACTAACCATGCCACTTTTAGAAAACTATAAATATACCCTTGATTTTTCATTGAGGGAGGGAGGAAGAGAAAGGATGATAAGATGAGAGAAGAGTAAGAGAATTTTGAGATCTCTCTTGCCACCAAGCTCCTCCTCAATCGTTGCCCGACCACCGATCATTGTCGGATTTCTTCCTAACCACCAACTATTGTCGGACTTGTAACTGGCCACCAACTGTCACTGAACTTTCGTTGGACTTCCTCCCAACTATTGATTGTCATCGAACTTCCGCTCGACAACCAAATGTCGTTGGACTTTGCTAGACTCCAGCCCAGCTATCGGTTATCATCAACTATGGCCTCTCCAACCAACATATTTGACTATGGTCCTTACAACATCCATCATCATAAAAACAATCTTTCTAACCACCATCACCCTCTTACTACTAACCTTCTGATAATCGCCGCCCAACTATGGTCTTTCCGACCTACGTCGCCCTCCAACTATAATCCTTTCGACCATCATTGCCAATTATGGTCTTTTTGACCTACGTTACCTGCTAACTATGGTATTTTTGACCTCCATCGCTCGTCTACTATGGTCCTTAGGACCTTTATTGCCCATTGACTATGATCTTTCAAACATTCATTACCCGCTAACTATGATCTTTCAGAACTCCATCGCCCGTTGACTACGGTCTTTCCAACCTTCCACTGTCTTTTGACTACAGTCTTTTTGACTTCCTTCGCCCAATGACTATGATCCTTCTGATAACCGTCACCCGACTACGATCTTTCTAACCTCCATCACCTGTGAACTACAGTCGTTACATGCTATATTATTCACCAACTATGATCCTACCGACCAAACGAATATGTCAACACTACTTCTTCCAAATCCTACCATATAATGCATTATATATAATATATATTTACTACATCGATCCCATGCCTTTCCCCAATGAAGGACATCATCTGTAGTTAACTGTAAATACATGTGTATTCATTTAAACTAGGCCAGACCCCGTAGTTTTTTCCCCATTTTTAGGAGTTTCCACATTAAAACTCTAGTGTTTCTTATGAACAAAATACCCCTCTATTTGATTTGTATGCTCTCTAAATCTCCGTACAATGATAAGATGCTAAAATTTATATTTCTCTACCTTCGTGAATGTTCCAGGATGCAAGAAGTATATTAGAGTAAAGATTATAAAGGATTTTATTGAATACATTGAATGTTAATAGTTTTGAATTCATTCCATCAAATGTAATTAGTTTTCTTAGGGATCAATAGAAAATATTTTAAAGTGAATTCGAATAAATTTTTTATTGCCTCTTGGATTCATTTTGATGGTCGTAAAGATGATTCAAGTTAGTTATACAATTTTTAAAGTTATTTTATATAATTTTAATATATTCTTTAACATTTTTTATGGAGTTAGATCGAGATATTGCCAAAAATATTCTTATTATATAACTTCACAGGCTTATTAAGCCTATTTTGCTTTAATCACAACAAAATACGATCAAAATCGGAAAATCCTCCACTAGGTCGCTCTATTTTCTTTTAAAAAATGAACAAATTTCATCATGGTGAATCTATGATGAGAAATCTAAGAGACTTAGGACCATATAATAATGAGTTTAAATTCAAAGTAAAAGGTGGAAGTAAAATCAAACTATTATATTAAGACGACAAATATAAAGAGAAAAAAAAAAAACTAATCCACTCAAAATAAATAAATATTATGTGAAGTCTAGTCTATTTATAATCATTAGAGTAGGTAAATGGCTATCTAGTAAAATTTGCATCCATAAGGTCATAATGCATTTTCTCATTGTAAAATTATTTCTTAGATCATTCGTTAGTAGGTAAAAATCATTTTATTTCATTTGATTTAAGCATAATTTTAATATATTTCCCACCATCAACATAAGATTCATCATTTTAGAAATAACATAAAAATTCATTCAAATACTAACTACACTATCTTTAAAACATTGGTGTACATAATGGAAGCATTAACAAGTGTACAAATAAATGATGGTTTATAAAAATTGAGGAGTGTCAGAAATGGGAACACACAAAATGAATACATTTTAAAAAAGTCAAAAACTTATTGGATGAATTACTAGAGCACTTCAAGGACCTATGTATTTTTTTATACATTGATTGTATGAAAGTTAATCATAGTCCCTAAAATAGCAATGATATGAAGATTATGAAATTCAAAGAGTTTTTGCAAGTCTTTTTGTGTTCACGATTTATCACTGCCTCTGAAGGTTTAAATCACAATATGATCTATTCCACTTCAGAATAAATATTTCTGCTATTTCCACTAGAACTCTACCACATCTCATACCCTCTAGACTTCGTGCTGTGTTAGTAACTGGAATTATTTTTGGGTTGTCGAACTCATTTGATTGTGGACATTAATGATCTTACATATTATAATTAAACTTGATATATATTCTTTCCTTATTAATTGGATTTGCTCTTGTATGAAAAAAATAACACCAAATCTATGATTTTAATGGTGCCCACCCCCTCTTACCCAACATGCCAAGCCATTTGGTGCAGGATGTTAGCCCCATTGCTATCTTTTGCAATATAAACTGGATCAAAATATTACAAATTGGCTAGCAATGGGCCAACCCAATAGAACATACAATGAACATCAGTCCTTGAGTTTTGATATCCAATTGGTAGAGGCCAATCTAGGGGAAGACAATAAGTAACGAACAACCAATGATAGGAGTGAGGGAGGTGAGATTGTTGAGTTGAGCATGAACTGTTCGGTAGAATGAGGACTCGACTAAGAAATACTCATCATGAAAATAAATCAATAATGGGAGCTTAGCATAAGGTATGTTGACTTCTTTTGTGCATAACACTGATGTGATTCTACTGCCAAACTCAACATCAATGTCTTTGGAGATTACTTGGGGTTTGAGTGAAATGAAAGGAGGAGAATGATATTACGACATAAATGTTTGAACTTACCATCACGATGAACTCGAATTAGAGGGAGTAGCTTGAACCCAATTTTATCGGTTAAACCAATGACATTTGTGATTTCGGTGGAAACCTTGATTGTAGTGAAGATGATGGTGGCTAGGATGGTGAAAATAAAGGGTAAGATGTAAAAGGAGAACATTGAGGTGGCTTGGGAGGCAACCGTAGAGCAAGTGCTAAGCAAACTATTTTATTTTTATTAGAAATATATACACGGGGAGTTAAGTTTCTGCTCATTTACTTTGAATAATTTATCTCGGTAGTTTCCTCCTTACGAATTTGTTAGTGTGGCATGAAATACATACATATGATTTGATATAAAATAAGAATAACCATTAAGATACACATATAAAAAGCAAGCAGACCTTCAAAAAAAAAAAGGTAATAATTTATAATTGGAAGGTTTAGAGGTTAGCAACCACACCCACACTTTTTAATCAATAGATGATGCATAATTGTCTTTTATTGAATAAATATTTTTTAGTCTCCTAATTTAAATATTAATGTACTTTTGATGGGATGAGAAAAATATTTAAATTGAACCGTAGAAACCAAAATGATTAGAAAGTTTGTGTTTTGATTTCATTTGACTCGATTAAATTGATATTAAAATAAGATTAAAAAAAAATGAGATAGAAAATTTATAGCGAATTTGAAAATCGATCAAATTTAAAAAATTTCAAAATATTCAAAAATTAAAGTAATGAGCGACTTTCAGATATTTTTAAAATTTATTTTATATATTTTTACTTTAAATTAAATACAATTTTTTAAAAATTTTATTAATTTAAAATATTTTATGACATTTTTATTTCAAGCCAACTAATCTCCAAATCAAATAAAAATTTTTATACTTTGAAACCAATCAGCCCTAAACGCGGGAGAGAGAGAGAGAGTCGGACCCCGTCTTAGCGCGATCACAGCACCAGTGTCGCAGTAGCGGATCGCTGATCTCCCCCTCCTCGCATGTCAATTGCCCTCGTTCTTTGGTAAATACATCTGACTCACACACTCTCTCTCTCTCTCTCGCTCTCATGAAGCAGAACCCCTTGGGTTGGCTGATTCCTTAGGTTCGTGACATTATATACCGATCTCATCCGTTTTTGTGACAATCATGCAACGAGCTCATCTCCCGCTGGCTGAAATCCGACCTTTTAGACAAAAAAATATCATATGAATTCAATATGAGCTATTTCGGGATGAACTCGGTGAAGCCGATGCAATATTCTGTTGATTTATTCTTCCAACTGCTTTGTGATTCTGTCCCAGACAACCTCTATGATCTGAACTATCCCGTATCGATAGGTTGAGACAGCTAATAAGAGCCATGGATGAAGATGAATTATTTGATTTGATTAGACATTTTATCTATGAGGAAAACGGCCCATTTTCTTTTTCTTTTTCCCGGAAGCGAAGGAAAAGCCCTCATTCAGCTAAATACTTGCACTAGATATCACAAATTGTTATTTCAATTTATAATTATATAGTTTGTGTTGTAGTATGTTTGATTTCATCTTATGTTTGTTAGAAAATATTGAAAACCCTTGCAAATGTTTTTCTATTTTTACCCCTGATAGATACTGGGGTAGGGTTGATTGATATGCTTGATACATCTTTAGCTGCATCATTTCTTCAGCATGTTCCCAATTATACCTCGCCGACAGAAAAGGGCCTTGTTGTTCAATGTTGGCTAGCACTGCGCAGGCGTGGATTACATCCTTTGATGGTAGAAGATCGTTTGACAATTCTGGCTTAAGGTATGTGGTACATTTGGATTATTCCTTGTTTAATATTTTTCCATGAAGAATGGTCAAAGGAAGATACCGTTTGCAACATTGTCTCAGGATGTACATTTAAATATCAAAATTATTATTAGTTACTTGGAGCTAATGGAAAAACACTTTGATTTATAGATTTGAATGATGAGGTTAGTTTTAGGTATCTATATTGCTAGAAATGAGAATATAGGTGTGATATGTTTTAAGTATCCTGAAACTATTACATAAAAAAAAATGATGCTATAGATGGGTATATAACTTTATAGTTAAGTTTGAGTGGTTAAAATTGAGAAGTGACTTGAGAGCCGGAGTATATGTGATATAAGAAAATCATGCAATTAGATATGTTATATTTGTGTACCTTTGACTTCAGGAGTAATAATGCCATCAATAGCAAGTTTTTCACAAAAATAATTGTGATTGCTAAGATAATTGCACAAAATATTTGAATGGATAAGTTGATGAATGATTATATTTGGAGTAGCATCTATCGAAAATAAGGATATTGAAAATAGACTTATAGTGGTTTTGACATGTATAAAGAAGGGTAAAAATGCAGCATTAGGTAGATAAAAATTGTGTTGAAGAATTAGGAAGGGGTAGACCAAAGCTAACATGGATAGAATTTATTCAAAATGATTTGCAAGGATAGGTTTAATATCTTTTGCAACACTTAGTAGGAATGAATGATAGATAAGAGCACAAAATTAACCCTAAGTAGTTGGGATAAAGCTGATAATGATGATGATATTATTGGTTTAGTTGGAATACTTTGAGCAGCTAATGTGAAATAAAAAATGGACATGTTCTGTCTAAGTTTTATTGGAATATTAAGAAACTTATTTCTTAACTTTTGTCACTAAACTTTTTCTCTTTTGTCACTTAGGTTGGCATAAGCTGAAAAAAGATTCTTGCGATTAACTTATTATATTACTGCATACAATATTTTTTGTGTGATGCTATAAGAAATTTAGCAGTGTAGAGAGAAAATTAAAAGCCATAATTTGTTATTATTTATATAATAAGCTCAGCAATAAGAAAGAAGAAAATTGGATATACAAATAGTTGGGATAAGTTTAACAGTTATGATTGAATTTAAGTTACAATAATAGAAGTATTAGAGATTATGGGTCAATCTTGTTGAGACAAAAAGACTAAAATTAGTCAGGGATTTGTTAGGAGCTTGTTAAGATTGGATAATGAATGTTAAAGCCTTTGAGTGGCTTAAATGTGATATCCATTAGATTGATATTACCTTAATCTAACAGTTGTATTGCTATTTTATTGGATCAAACACTTTACCAAGTTGATGATGCCAACTTGAAAATGAAACTTTTCATAATGTGTTATGATAATCAAGTAGATGAGTCTAACCATGAACTTTGTATTACAGGTTTAAGACATTTCTAGATTGTTTTCTGAAACTCTCTCAAACAAGCTAAACTATGATTCATATGTGATAGATAAGAAGAAATAGATGGTTATTGTTTCCAGTATGTTTGTGTGCTTTAAACGCTTTCTCGGTATTTTTGGAATGTTTATGCTATGCTTGTTCCTTGCTAATATTACATCCTATCGCTTGTTAGAAATAATATATGTGCCTATTCTAGCTTTAGATGCAGGAGACCCATGAGTGGAGCTCTTCAATCGTTTTGGCATTCTAGTGGGCATTACCTGGTTGCGTCCAAGATTCATGTTGCTTCAGATTACTCAGATTCAGCAGCTGATTTTTCTAACTATGCGGGAAATGGAAGTTATCATCCCTTTGAAGAACTAAAATATTATGGGAAAGGCAGAGATGTACTGCTTACAGATGCTGAAATAGCCAGGACAACTGTTGAGGTAATTTTTCATTTCAGTTCTTTTTATTAGTCTCAAACATAGGGAAAGATTTCTAGGCCCTAAGTCACATTAACCCAACCAGAGTGTAATCTGCTAACAATAATTAATAGTACGAAACAAATTAACTAAAAAAGCTAATTATATGGCTAGGAAATTTAAATCCACAATCTCATCTATTTTTAAAGAAATATTTTTCTTGTAGTATTCCTATAAAAATTAGCAAACCAAAATACGACTAAATGATTAGATGTATTAGTTTTGCCTACAAAATAGTGTATGCAATGATAAGCTATCACAGAAAAACACTAACCTAAATGTCCAACATTCAAAGCAAAGAAATTTTCTTTGTGAGCTGTAAACTACTGCAAGATAATTAATGCATCATCAAATAACCAACTATTTATGGGGATCTAGCGGATGGCATGATAGGAACTAAAAATGCTGCTTGAACTCGATGTGGGCATATTCCAAATAGTTTTAACTTTTACTGTTTTTTTTTTCATTTCCCACATTGTATAATAAGCAGCCGAGTTGTATTTTTGGTTGGCCCATATTTTGATGTACTACTTGGAAATTTTCACAATCATATAAATTGTCATTGAAGATTTAAGGTTGATTAATGAAATTCCATTTAGGATGGGAAGTTTTTGATTGTTCCAAATATGGAGTTTGAAGAAAAGGTTGTGGAATTGCACATCCTTGATCTAATTCTTTCTCTCTTTTCTCTTTAGTGCCTTTTTCTTCTCAGCTAATTCCTTTTGTCTTAGTGATTGCTTATGATTAAAGATTTGTTTTCTTCAAATCTTCTATCACTTGGTTTTAAATTTCTTATAATAAAAGCATAATAAGTATTATGCTTTAATGATCTCATTTCTTGCTATAGATCTTATTTAGCTGGTAATCCATTTTTCTATTTCATGTTATCTTGATTCCCTTAATTCTATATGTTGTATCAATAAAAGTAATTATTATTAGCATTATTTTGGAAAGATTTAAACCTTTCACCTCCACTTTGGAGATCAGAAGCAATAACATTCAACCATTTGATTGGTGAAGTTATTAATTGTTTATATTAGATAGCTTGCTTCTAGGAAAGTATTGTATAATATGTTGTGTTTGGGCTTTGAATTAGATCATCATAACTCGACTCTACTTTGAGTAGAGGAGTCCATCATTCATATTACTTCCTATGGATTTTATGCTTCCTTTTCCAGTGCTTCCCTGTAATTTACCGAATTATCAACAATCAAGGTATTGCTCATTTTGGCCATTAGGCATCACAATTTTATCCCCTTGCTCTAACTTCCTAAGGGGGCCTAGGACTGATTTTGTGTGAGTACGTTTAATTTTATAGTTTCTTGCTGACCCAGCTGCAACCGCCCTCTCTTTTTATTCTTTTGTGGAATTGTTCAAAGCTAAAAAATGACTAGGGCTTCATTTGGGACGGCTTTTTTATTGCTTTCTAAAATGGAGTTTTAGTACACATTTTTTTATTTTTGTACTAAAACTCCGTTTTGGAAAGCAATGAAAAAGCAGTCCCAAACGAAACCTAGATCTCCTATTTAATGCATGGATACGAGATGAAGATGCAGTTTGATCTGAGTTTTCATATTTGCTAGGAGTCTTGTATGTAGCCTAGTATCCAAAACTGTGTTAAACATTGTTTAGAAGTGATTGTTGAGTCATGGAATATCAGTTTCATATACAATCTAGCTAGCACCCATTTTAAAGATGAGATCAGCATTCTGAAATTTGCCATTTCTACCAGTAACAATGCCATAAAGCAACGAAATTTCTTTAATTTATTTCCACAGTTTCATCTATTTACCTGTATCTACTGCAGATATTTATTTACTGTTATTTTAGTTGCTGTTAATGTAGTTTAATATCATCCATTAAATTTTCGTTTTTCAATAATATAATTTATGTGCGGTTTGTAGCTTCCAGCAGTGACACTGTTACGATTGTCCTTTTAGGCAAATAGTAAGGCATTGCTGGTTTTTCCAGGAAGAGCACATTGTGAACCTCATCGGCATGTCTCATGGGCTGAATTTCACTATGTTATTGATGACTATGGAGGTGAAGCATCGTTATTTAGATTATGTGTTGCTTCAGGTTTAGGTGCCTTTCTATATGCAAATAATAAAAATAATTTTCTCTCGTCTGTCAGATATGTTTTTTGAACTTTTTGATGATGAAAGCATCTTGAAAGATCACAGCTCAACCAATCCTGTGGTTTGTATTTTTTGCCAGATGATTTTTTTCGTGTTTGTTTAAATACCATGCGATTTGGCACAAAAATACTCTATTGGTTTCTGTAGACTGTTCTGATTGGAATGGATTTTCCTGTTAATGGGGAGAGTAGATTGGAGAGTGATAGCTTCTTTGACGATGTGGACAATGATGGTATAATCAATGCTATGCTTGATGATGATTATGAAGAGGTTTGCTGCTCAGCCCTCTGGATTAGATTGAAACAATGTCATATTGTTGCTGATACATTTTTATGATGAAATTGTATTTGAAAATAACAGATTGTTGACACAGAAATAACTGAGACCCTTATAAAATGGGGGATGCCAGAAACCTTACTTCACATTCATCCTATCTACTTTGCAAAGTTCTTGGCTAAGGTCAGTTAAAAAATAATGATCCTCCTCCTTGTTCTATGGTATCACAATAATTCAAACATGCCTTGGTATTGACGCCAAAAAAGGAGAGGTTGGTAGATTTAATAATTCTTCATTTTCTGTAATTAGCGTAGCATGATTCCTGTAGTGGTGTTGTTCAGAAGTACCGTATGGCATACAAGGTAATGTTGGCTTTACACATGTTAATGCCATTATGAACAATAAAGAGGATCTGCTATAGGTATATAACAATAAATGATAATTTAACACAAGATTGTCAACCGAAAATATCTAGTAACTTCATATAAGTAATAAGAGTAATGCCTCTAATGAAGAAGGGTACATTTATTCGTTAATAAATAATAGTTACTTCCTACCGTTAGCACAAATTCCAGATTCAATTGTGGTTTGTATGCTTTCATCAAGCGAATATCCTATAAGAATCGAAATCAAACAATTATAAGCACGCAGTTTGAGACAACTGAGTTAATCGATCTAAGATACACTCCCCAAGCTAACATTAACTATCACAAAGATGTGATCAACCTTATTGTTCCCTAATAACATTAAGTGGACAATAAGTTGATATATCCCTCGCAAGAATTTCACTTAATAAAATATTTATGATATGTTGCATGTTTAAAATTGCGCTATTATGTATTGAGGCGTCTTTTGTTCATGAGGCGAGGCGTAAGCATCAAAGCGTTTTGAGGCGTAAGCCTCAAAATAAAAAAATTGCGTAAAGTGATAATAAATATCAAAAATAATTTTTTATATAATACCTAAATAATATATTAAATGATGACATATTAACTTTTTATAGAATTATGAATTAACAAATTGACATACATATGAAACAAAAAATTGCACATGATATAAAGTGACAAGTAATAAATTCTGTGAAATAGAATTAAAATCCAAATATCATAAGAGAAAAACATTATTAAATATATAAATTGCATAAAAGTATCATATAACATTAAGTTCCACTCCAAATTACTTCTTTTTCAATTATCTATTAATTTACATTTAATTCAGAATGAAAGCTGAAATAGTTGACAACAACTTAGGAATCATCTGCACTGTCATCACTGAGGTGGTTTATATCTGAGTTATCACCCTAACAAATTAATCTATCCCCTACCTCATTCGGTAGAGTTGAATGGCTCCCAATATGCTTCTTTTTAGTTTATTTCAATCATGTTCATCTTTTAGAAATATTTTCATCAACATAAATTTGAGATTAATGCTCTAAAATTTTTAGGGTGGTGGTGTGCAACTATCAAGTGATTGTCGGTGATGGCTACGAAGGTGTTGGCTGCGGCGAAGGCCACGGGTTGAAAGTAGAGGCAACCAAGAGGAAGTTGTTGTACTCGAATGTGCATAAACGAGTGATTTATGTTAGTTTTAATAAAAAATATATACTAATAGGGTGAGGCGTAAGCCTCATGCTAGCGAGGCGAGGCGTGCCTCATGGCGAGCCTCAACCAAGCTAAGACGCAAGCCTTATAAAAAAGCCTTGATGCGTAAGCCTCGAGGCGTTTTTCACTAGAATTGCATTGAGGCGGGCCTTAAGGCGAGCCTCATATTGCGCAATTTTAAACAATATGTGTTGCCAAACTACATGATATAAACACACATGATTTATTCTAACTAAATCTTAATTTCAAAATTGAGACCCCCTCCTCGTGCAAGCTATAACCCACATGGGTAGTATTTTGGGACAATAAATAAAATTAATATTAACCTGATTTAGTTTAGCATTTGAAAAAGGGACAAAAATTATGGGCAAGGAAGGTAGGTGGAAAGTGGGAAGAGCAAGGGAAAAAAACTCACTATAGGAGAGAAAAATGGGAGAAACATTTGGTGATTGTTGTTGTTGGGGAAGGAGGAGGGAGAGAGAGAGAGAGAGTTACTGTTGGGGAAGGAGGAGGGAGAGGTTCGATGGCTGCAAAGGGAAGGGGAATATGATGCCCTAGGTTCTCCTTTCTCCTTAAATGACAAGAGTGAAGGTCGTGGTTGGGATAATCACATGAGGTGGGCAAATCCCTTGACTCTCATGATGGAAGGGTCGTGAGCCTGGGGTTGGAGATAGCTGTTGCTTAGTTTAGCTCGTGCGTAAAGGGAGGTGAGGCGGGTTGTTGGGTTTGCTTGGGGAAACCAAATTCTGAATCGGACCAATCCAAATTCGATTATTATAGTAGATGTCAAGTCCATCGTATTTATTAGGCTAGCAATCCAGGACAACACTTTTTCAAAGACATGCCTAAAATTGATTTAAACTTTTGTGTACAAAATAGTTCAAAAGATAGAACTGTCACGCTTGCATTGGAAGAAAGGTTTGTATTGGATGAATATTCCTCATTACAACGGTTGCTAGGGGATATTATCAGCAGAATTTAAGTTGGATGGTTGAAGTGGAGGAATGCATCGGGCTTGTTGTGTGATAGAAAAGTACCCCTCAAGCTCAAGGGAAAATTTTATAAGATGGTGGTGAGGCCTGCAATGCTTTATGGTGCCGAATGTTGGCCATTAAAAGAGAAGCATAATACTAAGTTAAGTGTGACAGAGATGAGGATGCTAAGGTGGATGAGTGGCTTTACCTTTAGAGATAGGATACGAAATGACCATATATGTGAAAAGGTTGGAGTAGCTCCAGTAGAAGATAAGATTAGAGAGAGTCGCCTTAGTTGGTTGGTCACATAAAACATCGGCCTTTCGATGACCCGGTTATGAGAGTAGAGGTATTAGATTTGACTTATGTTAAGAAAGGTAGAGGCAGACTTATAAAGACTTGGTTAGAAAATATTATGAATGACCTTTCTTTATTAGATTTAAACAAGAATTTGACTTTGAATAGGACAATAGAGAAAAAGGATTCATGAAGCCGACCCCATGTAGTGGGATAAAGGCTTGATGTTGTTGCAAATATTGCTAAAATATTTCCGTAGTTATAGATGTGACCTAAAGCATGCTAAGAAGTTGTGGTCGAAGATTATATGATAAGAATGATAAGGAATAATTCTTGTAAGCTATACATCTTTCCAGTGGCCACTAGTTGCAGAGCTGATCCAATTTTGTTTTTTCCAAAGGGATAATAATATCAATTTCGATTCGCATGCTAATCATTGATGGCCTTGAAAAGCCCGGTAGCAGCATCCACTTGCAGTGGTTTATCAAATATTGAATATAAGGAAAACATAACGGGCTTGTTAAGCCGGTGAGTTTAAAGACGTTGAAAAATAATCCAAATCCAAACTATGGTAATAGGAGGCTCCTTGGAACAATTAAACGAGACAACTACTTTATCGTACGCATTAGAAACCTTTCCACATAGTATGATCTCCAAGAGAAGAATGTTGAGTAATCTAATTCTTTGGATAACTTAATTAGAACATGCCGAGAATCCATAAGTCCAATAGTATAATTTCCAACGAAGCGTGGATTGGCTATGAATATGCAAATAATTTTTGTATTAGGACGACCACAAGAAAACTTGCCAATAAGAGAGAAAATAAGCAAATATATTTCCTCATTAGATAAGTTAAGAGTTGATTTACCTTAAGATGGTGCCAGCTTGTAGTGAGGCGTTATAAGCCCTTGTTGAAAAGAAAGTTGGAAAATGAGGGGAGTAAAGTAGATGAGCAGGTCCGTTGTTCCCTTTAACAAGCCTTAACAAATATTTGAAGTGTTTAAGGAGATTTCATAATGAGATAAGCTCTAGTAGTGGGAGCATCCATAGGGGTTGCTTCAGAATGTTGCAATAATTAAGGAGCAGTCGTTGAAATGAATGGAGTGGGATAGAGGAAAGATCTAGAGCCAGAGGAAGCGAGGAGACATGCCAAAAATGAGTTGAAAGCAAAAATTGAATATGCGAGTCAAACTTGAGCATCAAGAGCTCCATTGTAGGCGCTGAGGTCTAAGATGGCAGCTACGCCTAAACCAATGGGACAATGCACCATGGTTGTGATGAGGACATCGTCAGCATTTTCGACGCCGGAGATCGACGGCCACGAGCATGACTTGTATTTTGTCATTTCATGTAGTAGCGTATTTTATTTTGATGTTTTTCCGTTTTTACCCTTATGGGCATTTAGTCGTTAATGTAGCCCGAGGGGCATTTTAGTCTCTTGTTTTTCTTTGTCATTGTGAGGTCTATTTATATGGCCATTCTCTTGTAATAATTTAGTTTTGATGAAATAAAATTTTACTCCTGTTCTCTTAGTGAGTTCATCTTCTCCCACGATCTCTTAGTGAGTTCCTCTTTGTTCTCTTTGTGAGTTCACCCCGCCAAGATCTCTTAGTGAGTTCGCCGGAGAAGACTAGATCTCTTTGTGAGTTCTAGTTTTCGTACACGTCACTCTTGTGGAAATTTAAAGTGAAGATATTTAAGGTTAGTAATTCCGTGGTGGCTCGAATCCCTGGAATTTGATTTCTCCCCTCCCCTTGCATTTGCCGACGCCTAGCATTGACCTGCTCAGAGCCGCCGGCCACTTTGGCTGCATCCTCCCGCTGGCCAGCCTCTCTCCAGGCTTTTGGCCACGGGTCCAGGCCATCCCGTGCAACCATCTCCCCTCCCCTCCACCGTCCAGCAACTCCCCAACAACCTCCTGGGTCCAAGCCGTGAATCCTTTCCCACCAGCTCACCGAATTTTTCCTGCACCCCTTACTGCCGTTTCCTCCTGTGATGTCCAACCCGTGGATTCAAGCAGTTAATGCTGGTTTAATTGCTTACTCAATCAGCCATATTAAGGCAATTAATCACTAGCATTTGATGATAATTTGAAATTCAAAAGGGGCTGGATACGTTGGCATATGAAAGGAAATTTTTTCCTTTTATGAAAGACTGAATTTCCTACATGTTTTCAATAAAATCTGTTATTTAAATCTGTGGGGCCCACTCCTTTAATCCCCTCTCCACTCTTTCTTCTCCCTCTTGGCCGGCCCATGCATGAAGCCATATCTCTCCTAATCACCCTATTAACTCCACACAATTAATCCCA